CTTAACCTTCTAGTCTCCAAAGTAGTCAAACCCAAAACTTCCAATCTTTTTGTACTCAAGATGTCTTAGCTCCGGTATCATTTTGGTAGCTCTTCGTTGGACTTTTTCTAGTTCATTAACATCTTTTGTATAATACGGACTCCATGCTTAGTAGTGAGAGTATACTATTTGCTTTACTAGCTGCATATTTTACTTGTTTGGCCCATTTTAAATCACTTGATATATAAACACCAATGTCTTTTTCTAATTTTGACTTTTCAATTTCCATTAATGTATTGTTATTGTTCATAAAATATGAATATTCGTTATTATTTGAACCAAAGTGCATAATTTTACATTTTTCAAAATTTAATCCTAATTTCCATTTTGTTGACCATTCGTCAAGTTTATTTATATCATTTTGAAACAATTGTGAATCATTTTGAGAAGAAATAGGTGCAATTATCTTATTATCATCAGCATCCAGGTCAGGTCAGGATAATTGAGATAAATCTTGCTACTGGTATCACATAACCAAGTACCACCTGCCACAAGCCCTGCTGCCTTGCAGAGTGTGCTCTTCTTATGCAAAGGCTAGGAGAAATAAACTCCGACTAAAAACTCCCCTGCCTTGAGTCTCTTGGTTGAGTAAAGGCTAGAGATGGTGTCTCGATAAAAATACTCATCTTGGGCAGATGCTAACTGCATCCAGCTAAACATCCCCTGCCTTGGGGCTCTTGGTTGAGTAAAGGCTAGAGATGGTGTCTCGATAAAAATACTCATCTTGGGCAGATGTTAACTGCATCCTGCTACTGTCTTGTAGAAGGCCTCCTAGGCAAAGACTTTAGGGGTAAGCAGAAAATTCTGCTAACCAGCCTCGAACCCCTTCTTCATCTATTAGGCTGGCGTAGATGTAACCTGTGTTACATTGTTTCCTGCCTAGGATGATGAATGCTGGATCTCCTTGACTTTACTCATAGAATTTTGCTTATGCCTCCTTGATAATGGCTATGCACCTCTTCCTGTTATCTCCATATGAGGGTACAGCTCTAAAACTCAGTTTAATGGTTCTGAGGCCAGCTGGTAGTAAGGTTTCCCGAACTCTGTGGTAGCTCTCAGAGAGGCTGATTCCATCAACAGCTGCAAAATATCAGAGTATTAACAGTGCCATGTTGCGCATGGATGGTGTCCCTGTTAATGCTTTTGGTGTGCATTGTCAAGGCCACATAAGGAGCCCTATGTCACGGCTTAGGGTTAATTAACAGGACTGAGACAACTGCATAGCTCATTGATTAGGCTGTGCTCTATCTATGAATGAGTCTAGTTCTCATTAAACCTAAATCATGACCAAAGTAACCAAAAATTTAAAACCTAAAAAACCATCCCCACCACCTAAATATTTTAATATATCTTTTACAAATATTCGCGGTCTAAGAAACAACTTTCCATCAGTTGAGTCTTACCTCCTGCAAAATTCACCAGACTTGCTTGCACTCAGTAAAACAAATTTAAGTTCTGCAATTCCTTCTTCAGATGTCAGTGTTGATGGCTACTATCCTTTGATTCGTAAAGACTCAAAATTCTGACCCCTCCAATTATCGTCTGATCAGTCTTCTTTCTGTTATTAGCAAGGTCTTTGAGTCTTTGATCAACAAATTCCTTACATCTCATCTTGAGTCAAATAAACTGCTGTCAAACAATCAATACGGTTTTCGATCCTCTCGCTCTACGGCCGACTTGCTAACTGCTGTAACTGAAAGATTTTATCGTGCATTAGATGGAGGCGGTGAGGCTAGGGCTATTGCTCTCGACATATCTAAAGCTTTCGACAAAGTTTGGCATGCTGGTCTTCTCCATAAGCTTGCTTCATATGGTGTTTCTGGGAAAGTTTTTGAGATTATCAAACCATTTCTTTCTAACCGGTTTATTAAAGCCATCCTTGAAGGCCAACACTCTTCTTTATTTCCAGTAACTTCTGGGGTTCCCCAAGGTTCCATCCTGGGCCCTGTTTTGTTTCTTATCTACATAAACGATCTTCCTGACAACCTTTCATTTAAAGTAGCTCTTTTTGCTGATGACTCGACTTTATACTCCTGTCTTGACAAAAAGTCCTCTCTTTTCGATCGCCTAGAACAAGCAGCTGATCTTGAATCCGATCTCACTTCAGTAATAGATTGGGGTTCACAGTGGCTTGTGAATTTCAACTCTAACAAAACCCAGTTGCTTACTGCAAACAACTACCGTAATATGGTCAACATTCCTATATTAATGAATGGCAATCCTCTTACTGAGTCGTCCTCTTTACGTCTTCTTGGATTATCGCTTACTACTGACCTTTCATGGAAACCATATATACAATCGATTGCTAAATTAGCTTTTGCTAAGGTTGCTTCTCTTTATCGTGCTCGCCATTTCCTTACTTCTGATTCCATTCTCTACCTCTACAAATCTCTTATTCGTCCCTGTATGGAATACTGTTGTCATATTTGGGCTGGTTTTTCTAACGATTCACTTTCTCTTTTTGACAAGGTCCAAAAACGCATTGTAAATGTTGTTGGACCTGGACTATCTGCTAAGCTTGAACCTCTTTCCCATCATCGTAAAGTTGCATCTCTTTCTTTTTTCTACAAATACTATCATGGTCACTGCTCAAAGGAGTTATCATCTCTAGTTCCATCAACTAAAATTCATTCTCGTCATTCAGCTAAGTCTCATTCGTTTACTGTAACTGTCCCTGCATGCTCTAAAAACTTTTATTCATCTATTTTTTTTCGCCGCACTTCAATCCTTTGGAACTCTCTCCCATCTTCATGTTTTCCTGACTCATACAACCTTCAATTTTTCAAGTCTTCTGTCAACCGTTTCCTTGCTCTATAACTCTGTTCTTTTTTTTACTAGTAACTCCCAACTTAATAGTGGTTGCTTGCAGCCTTGTTGGGAGTGAATGCAAATAAAAAAAAAAAAAAAAAAAAAGATTGTGATATAGAATTTTTTAAATCCAGAACTCTAGTCAAGTTTGCATTATCTGTTCTTAAAGTTTCAATTAACATTTTTAAATCTACGATTATTGCTTCTTGCTCACATTTGTAAGTATTGAAATCTCCTAGTTGTAAGTTAACTATTTGGATTACTGGATAGGAGGGCTACCACTTTAAATAACAGTGGATTACCTCTTGTCAGTGAAACTTTTATGTTATTATTATTAGTTTTGCTTATTACACAGGGACTAAAAAGTTTCAGTATGTGTTTTTTTCTGTGACATTTTTATATAGTAAGCATTTTATAAATTCGTGGCAAAATAAAGCTATAAGAAACTAGAGAATAAAACAGTAATACTTGAAGAAAAGAACTGAAGACTCTACAAATAGAAAATCTAAATAAGCTAAAATAAATTGTTGTCAAAAAAATAATATGCATAAATACTTAACTCTTTTGTTTTCTTATTTTTAGGGTGTTTGTTTTTTTCCACCACCAAAATTGAGTAGAGGAAAAAAGTAGATTTTTTGATATACAATTTTTTTGCAACTTTTTTCAGTCATTATCTAAAGGAAATACTTTATAAATTGTGTTAGAAACATGAACAATTTTAAAATTTGTTTTTCAAATGTCTTTGCTAAACTTCACTGTTTTTATCAATGCACAAGAAAGTGAGAAAACTATTAGCTATTTATTAAAAAAAAAAAAAAAAAATTTAACAAGTTTTTCATGTAAAAAAATGATATGATGCTGCAAAATTTTGTGAGCTAGTGTATTGTTAATTTATTGAATTTTCTTACTAAAATTTCTAGGAGACTATTTAAAACTTTTTTTTAAGTTTTTAAATACATTTTTTTAAACAGAAAAATTGCTTATTATCTCTATTAATTTGAATTAACATTGTAACTTTGGCAATATAAAAGAAACAATTTCAGAGGTGCATCAAATGTGGTAAATACATTTAATAAAGAAACTTTGTTATGCTTTTATTCAACTTATTCTGTCATTAAAAAAGTTTATTAATCAAATAATATTTTTTACAAATAAATAACAATTTATTTTCTTATTTTCCTATTGTATATATATTGAGAAAAAACATCAAATGTAGCAAAAACGTTTTTAAAAGCGAAAAGACATAAAAACGAATAAATAAATAAAGATAATAAACGAATAAGTAAGAAAAAAATTTAACAAAACTTCTTATAGTTCTAGCATACATGTTTTTTTCTAGCATACATGTTTTTTCTAGCATACATGTTTTTTTCTAAAAAAAAAAATTCAAAAGTTGTATAAAAATTTTATAAAAAATTTTTTTTTTTTAATTCACTTTATTTAATTATTAAATTTTTTTGTTTATTTAATGAAACTTGATATTACAATTTTGATTCCAGATTTTGATTTAGGATTGTTTTTTTTTTCTTAGTAGATAAGTTTAGCTTTTTTTTTTCTTAGTAGATAAGTTTAGCTTTTTTTTTCTTAGTAGATAAGTTTAGTCTTTTGCCATGAATTATTGAAATGCTTTATGAACTGCCATTTGTCTAAAAAAATTATTTTAAACATGGACAAACAAGGGGTATGACCACACACGCTTGCCAGGAAGGTTTGATATATATATATATATATATATATATATATATATATATATATATATATATATATATATATATATATATATATATATATATATATATATATATATATATATATATATATATATATATATATATATATATATATATATATATATATATATATATATATATATATATATATGGAACTTTTTCGAGTGCTTGATCTTTTTAAATAACAAAGCAACTATAAATTAAATTAGTAAACACGCTTTTTTTTATCTCAGGCTGTTTCTCCTTCTGAAAGGTTTATCAGGAAGATGAAACAACAGAAGGAGAAACAGCTTTATTATGCATTCCTTAATATGGTTAAGTACTAATTTAAAATAAATTGGTAACTAACTGTCAAATAGAATTTATAAATAAATATTTATTAATTAAAAATATATAAACAAAAAATAAAATATTTATACATACCGTATTCATATCTGAGATAACTGATAGCCGCAACAACAACAATAACAGCAGCAGCTGTTATTTTGGGTATTACAGAATAAAATGCAACCAAACAATTCAAAATAATAATGCAAATCAATTTGAAATTCATTATAAGCTAATTGAGTTATAACTGTAAACTTTGACAGTTTGAATAAGAATAAGAATTCAAAATTTATTAATACAAAAAAATCAGTGAATGTTACACAAATAAATTAACATATAAATAAATTACGCAAACTTGAAAATGTCTAAGGATAAATAATTTTAAAAATAAAATATATTCACGATAGTCTGTGATAAAATAATTTTTTTAAACTTGTATTGTATAGACAAAACAACTTATGATTACAAAGCAGTTGAAAAATTTTTTTTTTCAATACATAAAGATTATTTCTCTTTCAAATGACATAATTATATTCTAATTATGTCAATGTTATTTAAAATGTCAATATTAATTTTAACTTAAAATATTAAAATGTTGAGGTAACTAAATTTCAAAACACTTTAACTAGCAAAGAAATTTTTAAGTACTTATAAAAATATTTGGACACTGCAGTCTAAAAACACAAAATTCTATAATTTTAATACATATAGTTGTAAAAGAAATACAAATTATTATAAATATAAAATATAAGAAATTCTAAAGTTTCTACTGTATGATTTGATTAGTTTTTATGACTAAATTAATGTTTAAAATCGAACTTTTACTTTGATAACATTTTCGGCAGCATCAAAAACCTTCCCTTGTTTCTCAACCAGGTGAATATATGGTGTTCTTTGATATATAATACTTTAAAGTACCCTTTGAAGAAACAGAATTTTTTACAAACAAATGAAAACTACTTAAAAGAAAAAAGACAATTTTGAAACTAAAAACCTAATAAAATTCCATTAAATACAAAAACACCACTGACAAATTCATTAAACACATTCATTAAACATCCACTGTATAGTCAATCACATCTGTTATGTATATTGAACTTTTATAATTATCTTGTTTTATAGTCAATCACATCTACCATGAATATTGAACTATTGAACTTTTAATTACTATACTTAAACCATTTTTGAAGCAATTAAAATTTTTTAAAGAATCGTTTATGTTTTGTATGACCAAGTTTGGTGTTACAAAACAAAATAAAAACATTAAGACAATGACTACCATCACTAAATTTAACAATAAAGAGCTCTAAATTGTCAGCTTTGACTTCTGTTATCTATATATATCTATATCATGTTTAATTTTATATTTTATTTGTTGCATGAGCCAGTCTACAGTCATTAAACAATTCTATTGACACATCAAGCAAAATGTACAGCTGGTGTTTTTAACACTTCAAAGGAATGTTATTTATTTTTGTTGACAAAGTTTCAATAGAAACACATATTACAAACTTCAATTTGGAAGAGAGATATCATTCTACTTCTACAATACCTATGACTTGAAACCACCACAGTTTTATACCAATGTCACTTATTTCAATAAAAATAAGAAGAGTTTTATTTGATAGCGTTTGCACTAATGTGGATTTTTCTACCTGCAGAGTTTTTATTAATAAAAGTTTAAGTTACCAGGTTATACCAAATTGAAGTTTTAATAAATATTACCAGGCTTGGATTTATGATGCTCAATGTTATTTAGGAAATATTCTTAGTATTTCTGAGGAGCATCAAGATTTTCATATTAAATTTATAAAAAAGTCTTCTTTATATAACAAATTCATGTGGCCATGCAAAGATGATTTCTGTTGGGTACCCCTGATGCATATTTTATGCAAAATCTCGCCTCAAATTTTTGAAAATGTCTTGTTGTTCCCCTGATGCATATTTTACGCAAAGTACAATCTAGTCTAACCGAGGAAGATTTTATAATATTGAATTTAAAATATTGAAAAAAATCAATGAGATTTTTTTTTTATTTGAGAAATTTAATTTTTTGTGAATTTTATTAATTTTGTTTGTTTTAAAAACTTTTTATTGTCTAAATAGCTAAAAAAAACTTGAAATTTGAAGTTTTAAATAAATATCTTTTAAAATATTTAGTGTAATTTTTATAATTTTTATAATTTTAATAATGTTTATATTTGAAATGTTTGTAAATTTTTTTCATGGATAGTCAATGTAGAAAAAAAGAAACAGATAGGAGAGGAGAAATAACATTGTCACATGTAAATGAGATGTTAAATTGTCACATGTCCCAGACAGAAAACTTGCATTATCCCAACATAAGTTTTAACATTCTACAAATTGGTTTTTTTGAAAATATTGTACTATATTGGGTCAACATTTGGCCAATGTAGTATTGGTTTAATATTTTGCTATAAAAATCTTTTCTTACACTAATGCCGTAGCCAATATTTGGCCAATGTAGTTGCGAATCATTTTTTTAGTATACATTTAAACTTGATGCTTACATTTTTTAAAATGGTATCATTTTACAGAATAAAAAAAGATTTTGATATTATCTTTACATTTTTTTTAAACTTTAAAAATAAAATAAAATAAGCTATATTTATTAATCTTCTAAGAATATTAAAAGGTTTCTCATAAAAAATAAACTTCAAGAGGTTCTCGTGATTTAATGTTTTATTTTTTTAAATAATGAAATATTAATTAACATTTAAATAATTTGCTTATAAAATTTTACTATAATCTAAACTATCAATGTAATAATAAAGGCAACAATCAAATTATTTTTTTGTAAGATCTTGAAGTAATATTTCTCTTTTGTACTTATTGCTGTATCGGCATTTCAAATGATTGATTTAATAAAGAAGACATTTCTAATGTCTTCTTTATTACACGGCTGTTTCAGAGTGAGCTTTACGGCTTCTTGTTGTTGTTTTACTTAAAGGGTGTTACTAAAACATTTATAACTTTTGAAATATTTGAGACAATTTTGTTTTGTAAAAAGAATAAAAACAACAAAAAAATGTTTCATCATACGACATTTAATACAATAGTAAAAAAACTTCTTTTAGTTTATAAAAAACACGACAAATGATGAACTTGGCTAAATTTTAGTAATTTGTTGTTACTTTTTTAAATAAATCATTTGAAATGTCATACAGTAACAAGTATTAAAAAAAAAAAATTTTTCTTAACTTATTCATTATAGTTTAGATTATATAGATATTATAAGATATATTATTAAAAGTATTAATGATATATCATTAGTGTCATTAGAAATAAAATTTTTATATATGACTACTACAGTGGCATTTTAGTTGTTAGAAGCTGATATTTTACATTTTATATATGTTTTTTTTTGTTTGATTTTTTCTGTGTTTGATTGTAAAACCCTATCTACTAAAAAATTAAAATAGTGTACAAAAAGTGATGTTACTAGAATCTATATTCTACTTATGTAGAGCTTTCTAATATTTCCAAACATTTTATTATAAGACCAATGACTAGTCTATAATATAATTGATTGAATTATGAGATTAAATCAATAAATAATCATTATAAACAATTAAAATCAAAAAAATTCAATTTAAATCAATACTTTTATTAATTTTATTTAAATCATTATTTTTATTAATTTGTCTGATTTAAATTATGATTTAAATTGATTTAAATAAACTGATTTAAATCAATCGATTTTAATCAAATCAACCCTGTATATATTCCATCTTTTTGAGGCAGAGGGACATTATTCTTGGTTTTATTATTTTTTAATTTAATTTTATTGGATATTGTTCATATTTAGTTTGGTACAATGGTTAACAACTCTAAGCTTATACATTAACTTTAGTTATAACTTAATTATTAATGAATTAATTTATAGATTTTTATAGCAATGCAAGATTGAACTTAGCAGAAGGCTAATCTTCTGCTATGGAGACAAAAAAGAAAGACAGCAAAAATGATCAGCCAATCAAAATTGAAGAGACAAAAAGTTGTGTATATCTTAGAGTAGATGATTCTTTAGATTATTTTAGTAATGATTTATCCTCAATTTGATAACAAAATAAAGTAAAACAAAAAATATTAATAAACTTTAGGATTTTCTTGTAACTTCAAACTTTTTACAGATGTTTGCTCTGAGAAGTTGAATGAACAAAATTTATTAAATAGAAAGTAACAAAATTTATTAAATAGAAAGTAACAAAATTTATTAAACAAATTCAAAAGTCTTTCTGTCTGATTGAAAGTCTTTATTCATTGCTTTAACTTTTACAATTTTTTAAAGACATTTTCATATATTCCGGTCAATAAGTCAGAGTATTAATGAATATTTTATTGTGCAATAATCAACATATCAAAGCTTACACCAACTTTGAAATCCATTTGAAACCAACTCTTTTCTCTTTGGGAAAAAAAAACATAGTATTCATATGAGTTTAAGTTTTTAGTACTTTAACAGTTACCGATGGTTCATTATTATTCATTATATAAACATTTATTTAAATTTATCTAATAGGCGAAGCTAATTCAATATTTTTATAGATGATATTATTTTTAAAAATTGTGCTGTTAATAAAATTCAGAATTAAAATATGTAAAAAAAAAAAAAAAGTACTTACAAACACTAAACAAGGTTTTGTACTGTACCCATAAAACCTGGAAAGGTAGTTAGTTTTGGCTAAAGTCATATAAAACCCAGAAAAGTCAGGGAACTTTTTTTTCCTTAGATAGTCTTGAAAAAGTCAAGGAATTCTGATTGAGAAGTTACTCATTTTACAATTTAGCTAATAATTTTTTTTTGTGCTACCCATTTATTTTTTCTGAAACTTATGTTTTCCTTAGTGCTTATTCTTAGTCATCCTTAATAATAAGATCTAAACTAACATGTATAATAAGATCCATACTAATATCCAACTTAACAAATAGCTAAGTTTTATAAGTTTTGTCATTCAAAGCATGTACAATTTTAGCATTTCTATTACAGTAGATTATAATTTTAAACATTTTATAAAAACCATTGTTAAAAATGGTCAGGGAAATTCATCTGTTTTTTTCAAAAAAGTCAGGGAATTTTATATAAATATTTGGCTATAAATCCTGTTGGAGAAACATTGTTTTAATATGATTTTTTGTTTGTTTTACAGTGCTACCTGCATCTCAAACATTAATGAGAATTGTTTTGTGTCAGTGCCAGAATTTAAATGCACACCAGCAAATTCCATAATTCATAAAAATATTATGAATCCAT